CGGCTGGAAGCCAATTTCGATCAGAAGGTCTTCAAAAATGTGGATTTATCAAGTATTTTCATACAGAAAATTTGTGACAGAAGTTTATTTGAGTCATGTTCAGAAAATCATAACTTGGTCGATTTTCATCGTATCGAGCTGGTTCCGGCGCCAAAATTTCAAAAATTGAGTTGGCTACATTTTCACAGAAGGTATTGAGTTCAAACGATATTCAAAAGGCCTTCGTTTTTTGCTCAGAGTGCGTGACGCGCCGAAAATCCTGAATGCTGAATATTATTTCATCTGGGCCGAAACTTCGAAAATTCATAACTCGGTCAATTTTTATCGGATTGAGCTCATATTTTTACACAAGGTCACTGACTCATAGATCTATAACTTTGCTTCAAAAGTCGAGACCAAATTATGCACCGATCAATACCAGTTTTTTATTGAAGAACGTGTCAGAGTCGACACTAGAGCCCAAAATAAGTTTGTCTGAGCTGAAACTTCAAAAATTCATAACTAATTCACCGTTTATCCGATTGAGCCGATTTTCGGACAGGAGTTAGTTATCGATGTTGGCTACATTTTGTTTTCACATTTCAACTTCAAAAATTGCACTTAAGTCCCTGCGATTTAGCCTGGAAAGTGACGAACTCAAGTGAACATTGGAGGCCCAATTGCACATTCAAAGCCCATTTTCTTTACCCTAATTTCCATTATATAATCACCTTCTTTTCACACAAACCAGGGAGGAGGAAAAGAGAGAAAAAACCTTGCCACAACACTGTTAGAATATCAAATTCTTTCAAGAACCTAAAACCTTGAAATCCTTATTACAAATCCCTCTCTCACTACAAACAGGCCATCACAGTTACAAACCAACACCTCACTGCTTCTTCAGTAAGGATAAGGCTGGCTTGGTCTCCATGATCCAAAGGGCATAAAAGCATTCAGGTCACTAATTTTCCAGTAAGGGTAAGATTGATTTGATCTCCATGATCAAAAGGGTATAATCATTCATACATGCCATATTGTGCCTAAACATTAAATTTCTTCATATATTGGCTTTATTTGCATTTTATGATTTTATTTAATGTGTTCATGAGATTCAACACTGCAGATTTAGACAGGATCTCATGCAGGTTTATTAAAGAACGTTGAGGCCAAAACACAAATGGCCAAAAGCCAAAAGCCAAATGGCCAAAAAAGAACAACTTATGCATGACACCAATACATGGCGAGACAGACATCCTGAGAAGATTAAGGAACGTTGAGGCCAGAACACAAATGGCCAAAAGTCAAAAGCCAAAAGCCAAATGGCCAAAGTAGAACAACTTATGCATGAAACCCAATCCAATGGCCAAAGAATGCAGACCACGGTACTCAGGAGTCAATGAACACGCACGTGATGCCAGAAAGTCAAATAAGGCTTTTTGTCTAATGGGCCAAATTACTTCCAAAAAACCTCCTAAATGGGCCTGATACCCCCCATGGTTTGCATCAATTTTTAATTTTTAATTTGTTTTTTCTTTCTTAATTCTATTAATTATTTTAATTGTTTTCTTTAATTTCATAAATTAATTTTCATAAATAAAAAAATCAGAAACTAAAATATGTTTAATTAATATTTAAATTAATTTATTTTGTAAATAAACTCTAACAATTAACTTAGTTAATTTAGGTTTTAAAACTTTAATATTTTCTTAAATTAATAAAATATGTAGAAATTAGGGTTTTTTAACCTTTTCATTTTTTTTAACAAATAATTTTCTCATTATTATTATTATTATTATTATTATTATTAATTACTAAATATTTTGTAAATAAATATGTAAATAATTAATTAGCATAAATTAGGTTTTAAACTTTAACCTTTTCTTTAATAATTAAAAATATTTAGAACTAGGGTTTCCTTCTAATTTTAAATTCTTTTCTTATTTCATTAAATACAAAAAACAAAAACAAAAAACATTTCTTTTCTTTAATTTAATACTTAATTAACTTTTAATTCAATTTAATTTCAAAAGGGTCCAACGCCCTCGGACGTTCCAATTTTTTCTTTTCGCGCATTATTTTCTTTATCAATTATTATGTAACTGCTCAAGCCTTGTAATAGTAATTAGGAATTTATTTATTTTCCGCATTTTTTATTCAAACGGGTCTTTGTTAATTTGGCGATGTATAGACCCGCGCCTTGTAATAGCGTAGGATTTTACTTTCCGCACTTTAATTTCCGCACTTTTAAACTGCTAACTTGCATGAAAGAATGAATGACTAATTAAAAACAATGCGTAGATCACCATGATACATGTACAAGATAAAACATAACTGAAAACAACATACAAATTCACACACCACTTCTAGGGTACGCCTCACTGTTGCCTTACCTTCGGAACGTGGTCGTCGAGTATAAGACGTCTTAGTAAGTCCTTATGTCCGTTGATCCATATGCCTCAAAAAAAGTTGCCTCGAAAAAGTTGCCTCGAATTAAAAAAAGGATCAATGGCATAAGGGTAGCTTCTAAGGTGTCCTACTGTTGCTTCGGTGACCACATTGTCCCTACAAACGAATTGACCCGAACACCTCCAACGGTGGTGCTACCTACCTCTCAATGGTGGGATGGCACTACCTTAAGGACATTTACACAGCCTAATTCCTTAGGGTAGGTAGACGACTCATAGATACTTGCTCTCTTCAAAAACAAATCAAAACTCTTTTCACACCGACACTTTTCAAAAAGCTTTCAAAACAATTTTTCAAACACTCTTGAGGACTGATACAAGAGTCGATCTGAAATCTTTAAACGAAACTTTTTTCAAACTCACTCACAATTGAAAAGCAAACATCTTTTGAAAACATAAGAGCAAGTACCTAAGAGTCCATGGATAACCATGGATAGAAAGAGTGCTAACACCTTCCCTTTCTATAAATCTACCTCCCGAACCGAGAAACTATCTCATTAGGAATTTTGCTGTGCTTTTGTCCTGTCCATGTTGGAGAAAATAAAAGACGGTGGCGACTCTTGCTTCCGTGACATTTCGCGAACCAGCGTTAAACAGTGAGTTCCAGATCCACCGATCACAGATACATTTCTCATTTAGCTTAGTTCTAATTTTTCATTGAGGGAAATTTTGTAATTAATTTTATTAATTAACCTTTCTTTTAGTCTTAATTTGTTGGTTTAATTTCTAAATAAAAAAAACTCTAAAAGACAAAAATACATGCATTTTGATTTAATTCTTTAGTTAATTGATAGAATACATTTTCCCATTTTTCCTTACAAACTTTTCACAAGCAAATACTTAGAATCTTAATTCTATATCTTGTTAATTAATTTTATTTTATAGACTGTTATAATTTTAATTAATCATTCAATTCGATTTGATTGTATTGTTTGCTATTTGGACTTTTAATCGCATTCGACTCATGCCCATTTGTAAAAATTGTACCCCCATTCCCGAAAGCTCTGTAAAAGCGTAGAATTTCCATTTCCGCAATTTACTGTTTTCCTTATATTGTATAGTAATTAGGCGTGTATGGCAAGATTAAAAAATAATTGCTAGATAACCTAATTTCAACAAAATAACTTGAATCAAACACACTTTTTCACACGCGCACCTCTAGGGTAACCTCACTTGTTGCCTCGGAAATACAGTCATGTCCCTCGAATATGGGACGCTTTAGCAAATACCCTTCAATAAAAGATCATAGTCCCTCAATGACCCTCGATGTTTCCCTCGATAAAACGATCTAGTCCCTTACGAAAATTGCTAAAGCGTCTCATAAGTTGCTTTCGATGACTGTACGATTGACCCGTGCATGTCCCTTCACATCCAACGATGGGGCTTCTTACAAAATCAATGGTAAGATAGCAACATCTAAAGGAGGAAGAAAAGAACATTTAAGACCTTTCGAGTAGGTAGATTCGCTCCTAGTTTCTCACTTGCTCACGGCAAAAACATTTTTACACCGACACTTTCATCTCAAAATTTTTTCGAAAAGACAAAACATTTCGTATACGTTCTTATAGAGACGAGAACCATTGCAAAAACATATTTTCAAAACCACTTTCAAAAACACATTCCACAAATATATCTTTGAACTATTTTTCAAAACAAAACTTTGTACGCATTCTTATAGAAACGAGAACCATTACAAAGATATTTTCAAAATACTTTCAAAGCCCACACCACAAGCACATTGTCAAAGCAAAAGTGAGTGATCTAGCGAGTAACTAAGAGCCCGTAGATAACTACGGACGAAAAGGGTGCTAATACCTTCCCTTTTCATAATCTACCCCCCGAACCCGAGAAATAATCTCGAAAGGTCTTTCCCGTGCTTTTTTACCTTTCCTTTTGGATAAAAGAAAAGTCAGTGGCGACTCTTGCTATCTGCACAAACACTACAAGAAAATTAGTGTTTAACGACACAAAAATTGCGACAGTTATGTGATAACTGTCGTAATTGACATATAGAGACAGTGTTTACGACAGTTGACACCAACCGTCCCTAATATTTATTTTGCGACGGTATATTTAACCATCATAATATTATTATTACGACGGTAAAACAACCGTCGGCCCCCATTTAACACTTTTAACATTGATTTTTCACCAACAACTAGTCACGACGGTAAAATTAACCGTCCTAAAAGGTATATCACGACGGTAAAGCACCCGTCGCACCCTTAAACCTTTCACAACGGTACAATTATCCGTCCTAAAATTCATTTCACGACGGTAAAACAACCGTCGCACCCAAAACCTTTAAAAATTCTCATGGGCACGACGGTAAAACACCCATCGCCGTAAAAAAGTTAAAAAAGCTGAGTTGTACCGCAATTTGATTTTCCGGGCATACGAGAAAAGAGAACTATGCCAATCCCCAATCACCAACTGAAAGAGAAACAAAACTTCCCTATTCTCTAAAGCTTGCCACCCCGTGGAAGGTCATCTAATGTTGTGGCGGCCTTGAGCTCTTCTTCTTTCTGGTGGCCGGGTTAGCACCCCTCTAAGCCCATGTACCCGAAACAGATGCGGTTTAGCAGGGGCTTGCCAGGTATTTCCTGGGGTTTTCCATCCGAGCTTTAATGCGGCTAGAGACAGATCCAACGAATAGCTAAGGTTCGTTGACGATCCCTGGCTACAGCTAGCTCATTTCAAGAAAGCAAACAAGTGCCCGTAAGGCGTTCCTCTAGTAAGGCACCATCACCAGCGCACATGAGAAAAGGCCGTTGTTGCATAGCTCAGGTCGGAGCAACGCGCCATCGGACAACAAGGGCAGTGATTGGCGAATCTATAGTTTCTGGTTCCTCTCTTCAAACACAGTAAGTTTTATGTATCACTTTTTGCATTGTTCTCATCTCTCTCATTCTCTGCCATTGATTTCAGCATTGGAGATTCACTTGAATCTTATGGTTGAGCTCTTTGTGATGATTGATTTTGAGTTTGAATATATTGAATTGATGTTAGATTTTCTAATTTATTGTTTTAGGGTTTTCATTTTCTGACATCTTTTGATCACTATCCTCAGTAGCAGCAGCAACTTCAGAGGGATTTTGTTCGTCTGTCTTGGCGGCACCATTATTTCCATTGGCTTGTTCATCAGTGCTATTCTTTTCTGAAGGAACTTCCTCAAAAATATATATATATATAGTTTAATATGGCAATGGTAAGTAACCCATATTTTCTTTTGATAATTGTATTATATACTCTTTTAGAATAGTACTAAAATGATGCTCATCAAGTGTTTGTTGTAATGCTCAACTCAAGGTATGGCTGAGTTTATAGAATTCTGATATGCTATGCTATATAGTGCCTAGTGGGTGTTGTAAAAGGACTTTATAACCATTTAAGCATCATATTCTGTTGCAGAGTGTGATTCTGACCAAAGCATGTTTATTTGAGTGACTTGTGTTGCTTCTGTCATATTTGCCAGCAACAAAGGTTTTACTTTTTGAAATTGAATTAGATTCCTTTGTTTGGGAATTCAATTCTTATTCTTATTTTAGATTTTGGGGTTCTTAAACCTTGGTTGGGTTGCAGGACTTCTACCATTTCATCCTGATTTGCTAGGTTTGGTTCAGCATTTCCTTCTACTTTTCTTGGTATGTTTTCTTAACTCTCTTGCATTTTCAACGTTATTAGTATTGTTTAACAAGTAATTCTATGATTAACTAGAGAACATATATGTTGTTCTTTGCCTTTGTATCATGATATTTTCACTTCTGTAACAAGTAGTACTACTATTTTGTAGCAAATGCTATGATGATTATTGATACAGAGTGTCTGCCAAAGTTGAAATCTAAGATAAATCTAGTAAGACTTTCTGATTATAATATTTTATTGGCAAATGTTAGAATCTAACTAATGGATCAAGTGAAATTATAAACCTCATGATTAGAATCTGTCCAAGGTTTCTCATATTAGCATTGCATGGTTTGTTTGAATCTCTTGATGAAAGATAACTGAGCTGGCTTTGTGTTGATTTCAATAGGCTTTGTGTTGATTTCTAACTCTCAAGTATCAATACTTCATTTCTTTCGTAATATAAACACTGACATAGCAGAGCTTTCATTCTTGTACAAGAAAGCATAAAGCTAATATAACTTAACTCAAGCTCATAAGAGCTTGTATAGAGTCTCCCTCATAATATAAAACACCTGTAGTGTAATCAACTATAACTGTTTTAGCTTCCTTGTAACTAGCTGCTTGACAGCCGTCAGTCAGTTAACCACCCTTCACTCATTTCAATCAATTTTCACTTGAGAAATTCAACTAATAGCTCTAGCAATTCTACTGAATATTCATCTATGAGAAATCACAAAATTGTGATCTGAAAAAATTCAATAACATTCTACTTTAATACTTAACTAGACAAGAAATAGTCTTGGTGATTGTCATCTAAGAGAAGCAGAACATATATATTTTATATGTTGATAGGTGATTCTAGTTTGTCTTGCCGAAAAATCTAAAGTTACACTTGACAAATGAAATGACTCCCAAATAATGCAAAGCTAATCCCACACTCAGTATAGAATAACTATGTTTACTCTCCTGAAAATTTGGTATTAATATGCAACTAAAGAATTTAAACCCAAACTTTAAAAACTGTACTTTCAGGTATTTACTTGTACGTTGCTTCAAGAAATATCAGCGAATCATTGCTAGACTTTGTTAAAATCTCTTAGTCTTAACTACCTAGTTTCCATTTCCTCAATTCTTTTCTTTTCTATTGCTAACAAATATTTTACGTCGTTCTACGTGTGTCTGTTATGTCGAATAAGTAGGAACCCCCAAATAACTATGTCGTAGCTAATTACAGATTCTATTTGACAGATAATTTTAATACTTATAAATAATAATGTAGTTTGGCTTTGTAATATTGTTACTTATCAGTTCATAACTGCCTCTTTAAAAATTTAGTCTTGAAGAGCGAAGAACCTTTCCTTGAATGTGTTTATAAATAATAATGGATCTACATGTCTTATTTGTTGAAAATGATAAGCCTATTGAAAGATATAATTATAGAGACCGACTCGTAACTCTAAGAAACTCATGGACCACGTCGTCCATTGGATCGAGGGTGTGGCTTAATCGGTGTCATCAGTTCAACAAAAACAATGTTGGAATATGAGTTGAATTTTTAGGCATGCATATCTGTTTTTGTTCAACTAATATTCAAGTACCAGACCGCGTTGAAACACTTCAAATTTTCGTAAAATAAAACCATACATAGAGAAATAATACCTAGCAAACCTGAAGAGAAGATTTGAATGGTCACTGGTTCAATCTGGTTCAATCTGTAATACAAATGCTTTATTGTGAAGCTATTGGATTATATAACATGAATGATTTTATCTTCGAGTCAATGTTCTCAAGCTCAAATTGAAAACTTAACAAATTAATGTGTGAAACGTATCCTTATATGTTATTAACTAGTATGGGTCATAAAAATAACACAAAAAGTTGCAGTATGATCTTAAATTTATTTTAGTCTATGTACATTAAAAGATATGTATGTATCATCAATAGTTCAGCATGTCTTAATTGGCACTGCAGTATCGTTTCTGTATTTTTTCTTACCCCGTTTAACATGCATTCATACTATCACCAAACTCTACTTGAGAATTGTTATTTTCTCATGCGCAGGTTATCTCAATGCATTCATACAACCATTAACTTAATCACGCATCTCATATATTTCCTCCTGCATTTTTTACTTGCATAATAAATTGACATTAAGCATAATAAAAAAATCAGTAGCAAGACCAAATAGAAACATGAACAACACAGTGCATCCGAGGTTTTGACATAGTTGATAGTAGATCTATGTATACTCAATGAGAAGTATCAATATTGCAATATTAAACAAAGTTCTTGTCTTAAAACTTATCAATATTTAGTAGCAGAATCACACAGGAACGTAAACAACACAATGCATATGATTAAAACAGACAGAACACTAGTGTAAAGGCAGAGGAAACTAAGTAATAAAACCAATAAAGACAATGTTCACATGATCTTATTTTACTAAATAATAAAAGCATTAAACATTCAAAATGCTACTAAGAACTATTGGTAGTTAAAATAATTTTCACAAATTCCTTCCTCAATTCAAGAGTATCCATAGTGAAAAAGCAATCCAGTAGATTATTGTCTTTGGTGATAAGCATGGCAGCCCTTACCACATCTATAGCTGACAGAACTTCAATTTCTTTTAAAATCCTATAATTTGCTGCTGCTGCTTGTTTGTTTTGTCTGTTTTTATGATGTTTATAATTTATTGTGATTTGTTCGTTTGTTTGTTTTTCAAATGCTTCAAGGCAGATCTTGTCTATATGTACTCTGTAGCAAGATTTTTTCTTTTTTGTACGATTTGTTAATCCGACCATGACCATTTTTGTTGTTGTTTCTAGTGAGTGTGTTATTTTTGAATAAATGCAAACGCCAGGTTAAAGGAAGCCAAGCTTGTATTGCACATTAAATATGAATAGATATATTGCATATTTGCTCCCCTAAGAATATCGATTAGACTCCGCAATTCAAAATAAGTTTGCACCTTCACATTTTGGGCTTGTGCTGCTTGTGCCTCTTGCCCTCGAACACGCTTTTATATTTGTCTTTTGTTGTAGCATGTGGATATTTACTAGCTTTTGCTGTATTGGAAGGTAGAAAACATCACATGGTTATTAGTTCTGGTTGGTTATAAATCTGATTATTTATCACTAATTCACAAACTTCTATTGGCGTTGGAAAAACTAACAGAGAAGCTGTTAGATGACTTTTCATTTCAATTATATTTTGCCTTTCATTTTCTTCTTTCCTCATCAAATCATATTGTTCTCTTTCATTTTCTTCTTTCCTCAACAGTTGACAGTTAGTTATCCAGTTTAATTTGTTCACAAGTTATAAATGTTGTTTTATTGCCTGTTAATCAATTTTGTAAATATCTTGTACCATGTATTTAGTTAAATAGTCTAAACATGCTAAAGTTATTTTAATACTGCAGGTTGCATTTAGGACTAAGGTATTCCACCCAAACATCAACAGCAATGGAAGCATCTGTCTTGACATTCTAAAAGAACAATGGAGCCCAGCATTGACCATTTCTAAGGTTTGATTTTACTTGTTATTCTTGATAATTGATGATTATGTATCAAGTTGTAGCTAAATGTGACACCTGGATTGTGTTGTGTTGCCTTTTAGAATGATTTGCAAATGTGAAAAATATTGGACAAATGTGTTGTCACGTTTTGAGCTAATTTACTTGCATTTGCCAATATTGGACAAATACAAATTCTGACTATTAAATGTGTTCGCCTACTGAAATTTAGAATCACAAACTTTGCTAATTGTTTGGAAATTCAATTGAAGCATACAATTTTATCAAGGAATGAGGCTTATTTTCACATATAAAATTTGTCTATCCATGACTTTTTGTACTCTTATCATTTCTATTGTTACTTACTGCTGTAATCTCATTGATGTTTTTATGTGTTTCATACTACTTGTGCTGGTTTTAAATTTTTTTTGGGAAATTTGAAAATCTAGAACAAAAAAAATGATATTTTTAAAACACAAGAATTGTAATTCTTTTTAGAAGATTTTTTTCGTAAGAGAAAAATTAGGTCACTAATATTTCAAGTGCAGAAGTGGCTAATATAAATATCTATTCATTCTGTTGACTAGAGATATAGTTTGTCATCTTCATATAAGCTGATTATACGATTCATAGAAATTTACTGCTGGAAATTGAATGTGTTATTTTTCTCCTTTTTTAATGAGCTTCGTTTGGAATGATGATGTTGTCTGCTGTTGATCTAAATCTCACAAAAAATAAACCTAACATTCACTATTTTAGGTCCTTTTGTCAATTTGCTCGTTGCTGACGGATCCAAATCCCGACGACCCTAAACCCTAAACCCTAAACCCTAAAAGGGACAAGGCGAGGACAAAGGAAATTGAACTCTTAATGCAAATGCAGAATTTTAGTGGAAGACAGGTATATTATTTTGACGCATTTAAAGTTAAATTTTATGAGTATTATTTTAAAGATTATTATTTTAATACCTTTTTTTAGGGATTGGAATCACCCGCTGATGGTAGACGTTCATCTGAGTCTAGCTACCGTATTGGAGATAATGGAACTTCAAGGGGGACAAATTAGACTTTGCTATGATCGAGATAATTAGATTGTGAACTTTCTCATGTATTTTTGGCATAATGATACTTATTATTATAAGATTAGGAATTGATATATTTTGGGTTTTTTGTACTACTTGACATGATTATGGAACTCGCATTTTACATGATTATGGAACACACATTTTTTTGGATATTATAATGCTTATTTGATGTTAAATATTTTTTATTGAAATTATTTTTACTATATTACAAAGTGATAGAAAATAAAACAAAAAATAATACTATAAATAAATATATTAAAGAAGAAATAATTTAAAGAAAAAAATAACACAAAAAAAAACTATATTTAAAATTTTTTACATAGATAATAATTTAAATAAAAAATATATATAATAGAAAAAAAAAATCAAGACATAAACAAAAGTCATGGCGACAGTACCGAACCGTCGTAATCAACAAAAGTCATGACGGTATCGAACCGTCGCCAAAAACAATTTAATCAATTTCAAAAGATATTCACGACAGTATCGAACCGTCACCATCAATAATTAAAAGAAACTCAAAAGATAGTCACGACGGTATCAACCCGTCGTAAACTTGAACGACAGTTTTTGTAACCGTCGCGAAATAGGTTGGGGACACACACTTCTGCGACGGTAAAGAAACCGTCGTGGAAAGCAAATTGCGACGGTTTTAACCGTCGTAATCTACAAAAATACCTGTCGCAATCTGCCAATTTTCTTGTAGTGAAATAAGGTCAAACGCAAAACGACCTGAGTCAGTTCTCCCGCCGTATCACAGAACTGGCGACTCTACTGGGGAAACTTAATCTAAAAGCGGGGTTACCTTAGGATTAGATCACTTTTACTTGTTTCTTGGCATGCTTTATATTTTGTTCTTTGTATTGGGCTTGCTTTGATCCTTCACCCGGATCTGGGACACCTTTTTAGGTAAATAGCAATAGATTGTGGAAACTGTACGACGTAGACCGATATGGTTGAAACAATGGCTATGTTAGTGTGACGCATTTGTAGGTGCCGGTATACCTCGTGGTGAATCGAGGAGAATACAGGGCCGCTGAGTGGCATCATGAAGCACTAACTGTCTTTAGAACCCTAATTGAACAAACTTGGCCATTAGGACGTAGTGAGATAACCGATTTCGGTGTAGAGTTGAAAATTGGTTGATACTCGATACTACACTCATTGAGGCTAGACTTTTGGGATATCTCGGCTGCAAGAAAAGATTGATTGTGCTGAGACAATGCCTAAGAGAAAGGTCGGTGATATTGAGATCCTTTAGAACCCGATCACTATTACTAGGACAGGTTGAGCCAACTAAACTTCAAGAGGGTACTTACCTATAAAACTCCATGCAAGCCTAAAACATAAGGACTTATTTGCTGTGTATGTATATATTTACTTGTACATAACATCATAAACATCATAAGCATCATACGCATGCACACTAACCATTTCAAGGATTCAGAAATTTATCTTTGTTTTTGTTTTGTAGGTCATGAATTCCGTCTAAAGGAACACCATCCGAATCAGCTTTGTAAAAGCACACCCTCAACTTCAAGAGTTAGCCTCAAGAGTGCCCAGGGATTCTCCTTTTACCAAGAAATACGGTCGACTCCTCAGTTTGGCTACATCCAGTTTCCAAGAAGAGATGATGTGTATGCTGTTCCAATTCTTTAATTCCATACATCATTGTTTCACTTTCCAGAACTATCAGTTGGTACCTACACTAGAAGAGCTCTCTCTACTCTTAGGGGTGCCCGTGCTTGATCAGATACCGTTCACCGGTCTAGAGGGGATTCCAAAACTTGAAGTCATCGCCGAAGCTTTGCATCTGAAGAGAGCCGACATCATAGCCAATTGGGAGACAAGAAGCAGGGTTAAAGGTTTCCTAGACAAGTTTCTATTGGAGAAAGCTCGTTCATTCTGGGACGACATGGATTTCCAAGCTTTTGAAGACATCCTGGCTCTTCTCATTTATGGTTTGGTTCTGTTCCCCAACTCGGATCAATTCATAGATGTTAACGCCATCAAAGTCTTTCTCTCTCGCAATCCTATACCTACCTTACTGGGAGGCATCTTGCACTGCCTTCATACCCGCACCATGAAGAAAAGAGGTACTCTCTTGTGTTGTATTCCCATACTCGCTAAGTGGTTCACTTCACACCTACCTCAATCAGTATTGAAGAACGAGCAAAGACTGACATAGTCTCAAAGGATGATGTCCCTCACCCATTCTGACATCCGTTGGTGTTCGAGATCCTTGGAAGATGTCTCTATCATTGACCGCTGTGGAGAATTCCCTAACGTCCCTCTGCTTGGTATTAGGGGAGGTATCACCTACAATCCCTGCTTAGTTCTTTGACAGTTTGGGTATGCCCGAAGAGACGGCCCTCATGAGATGCTCATTCAAGGTCTGGTGTTCGACTACGGCAAAGAAGACCAAGGTTATCGCTAGAGGTTTACACGAGCTTGGAGAATGATGAACAAGGTGGATAGTAGAACTTTGGGACACAAAAACTCTATCCCTCTCGAGCCTTACCTTAGGTGGGTACATGATCATTCTCAAAGTCTCAGGATGCCTTACCCTTCCATCCTCCCTGTTATTATAGAGCCTGTTGTTGAAGGAGACGTCCCATACACTGTCCTTCATCCTGACATGTCTACCTCTCTTGAAGACTTGCAGAAAGCTTGGGTTCAGTTGAAGGAAGAACGAGACACCTTTGAAGTCTAATTTTACGCCAGTGAGAAGAAGGTTCTGGAACTCACCAAGCAGCTTCATGAAGAGCAGAATTTGAACACCTAAATCGCGCCAAAGAGGATACGTTCAACCTTTTTGTCTTAGGAGTTTTTGTTACATTTTGTTTTTTTTCATTGTAAGCCCAAAGAGGGATGATGTACTCAAACTTGGACTTATTAATATAACGTGTGTTCTTTTTTGGTTTAAACAAATTTAAATCTCTAATTTCCTTGAAATCATTTGCATATTGCATCTTCATTCATCATAACATCACACATGTTTCCTACAACAAGTCTCCTTATCCTTCTACTGTTTATTTTAGTGAGATGGATATTGAACAGACAATGAAAGATCTTCAGGCGCAAAATGTCCAGTTTCAACAAATGCTCTTGACTCTGACAAAAGGACAAGAGGAGTTGAAGACTCTACTGGCCAAAGAAAAAAGAAGAAAGCGAAGAAACCACCCGATATTGTGATCATGGGAAGAAGGTTCCAAGGACAAGCCAGACGGACTTTAGACTTTGCAACATCATCGGGTGAATGAGATAATTAAGAAGACAGGACCAAGGAAGTGAACAACAACCCAGCATCCGAAGAAGAGGAAGAACCTGACTACTCTGAGTAACAATATCCTCCTGCTGATAATAAATACAAACAGCTAGAGGATCGTTTGAATGCTATGGAGGTCAAGAGAGTACCCGGATTGGATTTTGAAGAGTTAGGACTTGTCTCAGGGGTTGTCATCCCACAGAAATTCAAGGTCCCCACTTTCGCTAAGTATGACGGTGTCTCTTGCCCGAAACTGAATTTAAGGTCATACGTCAGAAAGATTCAACCCCATACGACTGATAAGAATCTATGGGTGCATTTCTTCCAAGAAAGCTTGTCAGGAACGCAGTTGGACTGGTTCTATCAACTGGAAGGGACTAATATTCACAATTGGGAAGATCTGGCTGCTGCCTTTTACAAACAATACCAGTATAATGCTGACTTAGCTCCAACTTGGACACAATTGCAAGGCATGTCTATGGGTGCAGGTGAAGGTTTCAAAACCTATGCTCAAAAATGGAGGGATCTCGCAGGCAGAGTCCAACCCCCTCTATCTAACAGAGAATTGGTGGATATGTTCTTAGGCACATTATTAGGTCCATTCTTCAACCATTTGATCGAAAGTTCCTCGGCTGGATTTACTGAACTAATCATGACTGGTGAACGAGTAGAAGCCGGTATAAAAAGTGGAAAAATTCAAAGAGATGCATCCTCGAGCACGATGAAGAAACCCTTTGTTGGAAAGAAGGAGGTCAGTGATGCATATGACTATAGGAATCAAAGCAAAACTGAACTTAGCCCGGAGGTAGGGGCTGTTATGATTTCTAATCCTGTGCAAAATCAACAGCGAAATTATTAGCACAAGCCAGAAGCGCCCATGAGACGATTTACCCGGATCAACATAACCATGTCTCATGTTTTACCACACCTTTTGAAAACCAATCTGGTAACTTTAAAAGAAGCTCACAAGAACCCCAACACTGCTTCTCCTCGCTACAACGCGAACGCTCAATGTGCACATCATTCTGAAAGCCCGGGGCATTATACAAACGACTGTTGGGCCTTGAAGAATAAGGTACAAGACCTTATCGATGCGAAATAGATTGAGTTTGATCCCCCAGAAACGGCTAATATAATAACAACGCCAATTCCCAGACATGGTCAAGGTGTCAACGCCATTGATGATGATTGTTTTGTCTCCTTCGTGAATGACTTAACTACTCCCCTGTTGACCATTAAACAGAATCTGTTGCAAGCCGGTCTGTTCCCGGGCTGTGATAAGAATTGTCACTTATGCAAGTATCTACCAAATGTCTATTTGTTATTGAAGATATGCGTTCATCGCCTGATGACTAGCAAAGAAATTTGATTTGAAAAGATTCCTCTTACCAGAACTTCTTATCAAGATGTCTCAATAATCACCATTTCCAACAATCCTCCCGGGGTCTCCGCCAAAAGACCCGTCAA